GATATCCCATGAGCGCCTCTGCAATTATATGTTCCATTACTTTAGATAGGACTGGGAGGAGAGTGATTGGACGGTAGCTCGAGGGCTCCGCACGATTACCACTTTTGTAAATAGGAGTGACTAGTCCATGTTTCCACATTGTGGGAACCTGCATTTCGTCGATACAACGTTGAGAGAACCGAGCTAATGGTTCGGTAAGGTTCATGGCCGCTGTTTTCAACGCCTTCAGTTTGATGTCGTCCACACCAGGTGAGTTGTGCACGCGCAATGACATTAGCGTTTCCATCACACTGGCTGCTGTGAACGACACGTGGTTTAACCCTGGTGGCGATGGAAGCTGTGTCAAAAGCGGATAAAATGATGATTCACTCCGGAAAGTGTGGATGAAGTGTTGGTGAAGCATGTTGGCCGCATATTGTGCGGTTTGCGCAAGACCATCTGTTGCACGTAAAACCGAGATCGCGCGCTGCACTCTGCGGAGCTTGTTGATGTGTCTATATAGAAACTTGGGGTTTGTACTGAATTTCTTAAGTTTCTGTCAGTGCTGGAGTTTGTCTTCGCGAATCAACTTGACGCAGTGGTTTCGTTGAGTTGTGTAAGCACCCCAGGTCAAGTTACTTGGACAGACATGGTAAGCGCGCCTGGCTGAATCCCTTAAGACCATGCATTTTTTAGTACGGCTCCTCGGGAACGAATTCACTTGCTTCGAGCGAGAGATCTTACTTTTTGACGCTTTTGCCACTAGCCCACTGAATTGGGCGAAAAACGCCGTCCAGGCGACATCGAGCGGCTTCTCGGCAGGAAGGACCGGTCGGTTTCTTGAACGAGGTTGGACAGGATATTGTAATGTGTAACGACAGGTTTCCACGTTGTTCTCTCTGATGTACTTCAAGTAACAGATGTAACGAAAGATCGGCATCGCGTGATCGCTTCGGCCAAGTGATGCATCTATGGTCCCGGTGTCGACCATTAGTTCCTCGTTGGAGAGCACAAGGTCCAGAAGAGGGTGTCACCCGTTCCAAATCGCGTGGGAGAGGTGACAAAGTTGTACAAAGGTACATCGGCAATCACCTCTTGCAAATCTGCCTTGAACGGTTCGCTGTGCGATGCTGAAACTTCGGTTGCATGCAGGTTGAAGTCCCCCAACAGAAGGACGTGACTGTGTGGTCGCACCAGGACTCGTTTCATCGCAGAAGCTAGGCATTGATCCATTTCTAAGGTGGACATTGGAGGACGGTAAAATATTGCTAGTAAACACATCACCCTGTCTCAGTTGCATACGACACCAAAGAGAATCGACGACTTTCGTTTTTGGGTCCTCAATTATATCAACACACAGGTCGGATCGATAATACAGGAGCACTCCGCTTCCTCTACTAGGTCGATCGTTTCGTAAGGAAGTCATGCCGGATAGTGCAATTTCAGTATCCGTGTTACGTTACCAGGGCATGATCAAAGTGAGCGTGTCATGTTCTTAGCTTGATTGCAGATCATGGGAATCAAAGGTGGTTGATCGGCGTGCATGGCGCGATCTATTCACGATGGCATTTGCCGAAGTGTGGGAGAAGGACCTCTTACATGCAGAGAAGAAGCGGCAAGTGCGGAAGCTCCAAGCACCGATGTGTGGTACTCCGTCGATATTGAGCTCATGGTGCTGTAGCACATGCGGTCGCGAGTGCCTGAGTCAGGCAGGCCTAGTGAGCCATGAGCGAGGCCACTTAGGACCACTACCTAAGCGACGACGGGTCCTGCAGAGAAGGTAGGCAGAACCGGCACAGCGTTTGTAGGTACGCCGCATTCGATTTACTAACAGCGTGCTTGCATGCTAAGTCTTTATTTCAGGTGGTGGGTTTTGCAATTTTGTCCTAATGCTTTTCTTTCTTATAAATATCTACCAGTACTCTCTTCTATAAACTTGCTCACCTCGCTTAAGCCAATTGTAGCCAATTTTTTCATAACGTTTTCGTGTTTGTGGCATTTCCGTAATGTATACTTTCTGACCCCGTGAACTTATCTCGGATCCTTTTGTAAACAACTTCTTTCATATGCTCATTAATTTAAGATTTATGCCACCGTTTCTTTATGCATTACTCAATTTATTTTTTTGTTATCTTTCTCTCAAGTGATTGGTTGTTGCTTGATATCCCCGGTGTGGCTGCGTTTGATGTGCATGTTGACAAGGTGTCTACCTGTCTATTACCCACTACCACGTCCATACTGCCTCTAGGAGACGGTTGGTCGTTGCTGGAAGGGACGAGGTGCACGGTCCTTTTGTCCGTGTTAGGGTTAAAGAGTAGTTCCATGCACTCAGTGTGCAGAGGACTAAGGTCCAGTCACCGCCCTGTGTGTGCTTGACTCTCCAATTACAATGTGCTTGTTTTTGCATGAGGTGTGTGGGCCGGCTCCGATGGTAAAACGTGGCTGCCCTCCACATGCCTCCCGGTTTTATTCCTTCGGGTCTACACTGGATATGGTGTGTGGTTGGAGCTGTGGGTAGTGCATCGCAAGCTACCCATAGTCCCTCTTTAGGCGCAGGCGCCCTGTGGCTGGCCACAGTGACAGGCAAATCCGAAACCGGATGCCGCCAACCATGCACCCCGCGGATTCGTTGCTAACCAAATTATTTCATGTGCTATTTTTGCACAGAATTATGTCACCGCACCTGTATGCATTATTCGATTTATTTTATTTGATCTCGTCGTTTCATGTGATTGGCTGTTGTTTGTCATCCTCGGTGTGGCTGCGCTTGATGTGCATGTTGCGAAGTTGCCTAACTGTCTATTACCCATTACTTCGTCCATATTGGCTCCAGGAGCCAGTTGGTCGTTGCTGGAGGGGACGGGGTGCACGTTCCTTGTGACCGTGCTAAGCTTTAAGTGGTTTCATGCACTCAGTGTAGAGCGGACTACGGTCTAGCCACCGCCTTATGTACGCCTGATACACATAACTCCTTATTTAGAAGGGAATGCTGCTGATGTGCGTTATGAAGGACTGTGGGCCGGCTCCGTTGATGGAAGGTGGCTCCTATCCACATGCCTCCCGGTCTTCGGGGTTTGCACTGGATATGGGGTGTGTGGGTGGAGGTGTGGGTAATGCAGCGCACACTACCTATATTCCATCTTTAGGCGCAGGCGTCCTGTGGCGTCTCCCTGGAGGCCACATTGACAGGCAAATCCGGAACTGGATGCCACCAACCACATGTAACATTTTCACTTTAAATTGGACGTTTTGCAAGCCATTTTGTACACATTGCATTTTAAACAACGAAATGAGAAGCTGACTATTGATAGGTGATAGCATTTCGTATTATCTCGTCAGTTCCAATGCAATAACAGGGAAATCCTTTTATATGTCTGATAGGGTACAGTCAAGCCAATCAAATTTATGACTGTGGTCATTGTTGTTGGGAATAGGACCACAATAACCGCACGTTGACAACTAAGTGCTTTTGAACACACAAGGCTGATCTAATTCGGCTTATCGCGACGGCCTCGGCAAAAGGTGTGAATTAGTATGACGCAACAAGATCCGGAACGCCGATAAGGGATTGACCTGGTGATGAGTCACCAAAATGCGTCTGCTTATGGAGGACGCTGGCGGCTTACGCAAAAACGTATCGGCAGAGGTGGATTGAGTGACTTCGCGCTGAACCCAGTTTGGTAAGTGCTCTTTCATTTTACTCAGAAAATCAGTTACGGTCCAAGTGATCGAATAAGCCAAGGTTCAGTGGAAATCGCGATCCACACTGAGATCGCGTATCGCAATCCGTTCACAAAGGGCGTACTTCACAATGACCCTCTAAAGCGATACGGGAGTCTGACATTCCAATAGTGACATAGCTAAACAGGTCCATGTGAAAAGTCAGAGGCACATGAACTACACGAAGACCGATGGGGACAGAGGGGGGGGGTACACAGTCACCGGATTTAATCGGGGTTCGCGACCAAGAGAAGGGTTTGTGGTGGCACCCGCTGCATGAACATAACTACAATGTACTCTGAACATAGTCCAATCGCCTTACTCTTCAGTTCTTGCTAGCGAACTGCTGATTTTCTGAGTAAAATGCTGTGTCCATAGTGGTTTGAAAAATGCCCATTTTTTGCAATACGTCCAATTTAAACTATAAATGGTATATATAGCCGTAACGAAACAAATAACATCATTTACGTCGTTCATCAGTGCTGACTGATTACTTGACACGGTGCCTGGGCGAAAGCATGGTAAATGGGTATTGTGTGATTTCGTCGGTCTAATGGACTCACAGTTGTTGGACTTCGGAGATGGTTAGTAACACTGGCTCACTCGACATGATCGGTTTGACTGCGGTCTGTTTGTATTTATTTTCGCGTCGTAGCATTAACTAGAGCGTTTCTACCGCTTTTCGTTCTATCTCCCGTTGGTACCAATCGTTCTTCGGGTTCTACATTGTTGTTAATCTTCATTTTTCTCGAGATATGAGTTGGAGCAATTCGACTCACTGCCTTAGTGGCAGTTGAACCAGGGGCAGCCTAGCTTCATGCTTATTTTCTCACAAGAATCTAGTTCATTTACATATTTTCTTATTTCCAATGTTTATATTTAGGTCGCATAACGTTAAGTGGTGTACGATCCACAACGAAATCATTCACCATTACCAGCAGTGCGTCAGTAGTTTGATCTGATGCTTCGCTGCCATAGAAAAAGGATGTCAGCAGTATGCCGGTACGAAGTACTGGCGATTCGCTGCCGCGCAACTACCCCCAGCCGCGCGTGGGTTAAGGATACACAGAGACTCGAGCCCGCGACCTTAGGACTACAAGGCAGGCGTGTGATTCTTAAGGCCACAAGCCGGCTCCGTTGCTATAAAACCATAATGGTTTAGAAAATGAAGAATAGTGGACGGAAGGGAAGAGGGATCTACCTAAAACCTGAGCGCACTAGCAAAAATTCAGGCTCAAGGCGCTTACACACTGTCACAATCAGATGGTTATCGTACGAAAAACGAGGTTGCCTATTGCATTATGTACAATTTTAACGCACTTTTCTGTTTTCTAGAAATGTCAATCTACCGAAAACCAGAAAGCGATAACTTCGACAACTCCGTAGATCCCGCAGATGTGACTCGTGGCGAATATCGAAAAATGGGTGTCTATGATTTCGTGCGAAGAGATATTGAGAGGTTTATTGCACATCCGGTAAACTCATTTTAACATGGGGTTATTTCTGTGTTACGTCTATTTAAGGAGGAAGCTGTTGTTTCGCCAGAACTGTTGAAATCAAAGGATACGAAACCTCCGCCGGAATTCGTTCGAAATGTCTGGGGTACGTTCGAACTGTAGTCAATTACTTCCCTCCATTTTAATTAGGATCTGCTGCTGGTGTTGGAAGCGGTGATTTCCACATATACCGCGGTATACGTAGGCGTGAGTACGCTCGCCTCGAAACGATCGAAAAAACAGCAGAAGAGGCAAGTTGTCCATTTTGTCTTCTGATTTGCTACAGGAGCGATTGAATCGAGAATATCAGGAGAGACAGCGCGCTTTGGATGAACTAGCGGCGGCTAAAACTGCGAAAAAGCGCCTGAAACGCCAGAAGAAGAAATTAAAACGTGTTAAAGGTGATGTAGACTCGAAGACCGGAGTCGAAGTCAATCACGATCCCGAGTGATGCCTTATTGCATTGTACCAAAGAACGTTACCACACATCAATTGTACAAATTTCCTTATTTTACATCTATTATTTCCCAGCCCACATTTTTGTCACCGTCTTCTTGCCAACCCAAAACCGTTATTATCTGGGGATGGGATTCCATGCACAGCGCTTCATTAGTAGTGAACCGAAAGCATAAGTTTGCGGCGCAACACTTCTGAGTGTAGCAGCCTTTCTTGATTACCCACCGTATTCATTCCAGGTGATTGTCGTTGAAGACGAATGCAGCTGTAGCACTAACTTGTTATTTTCGTACATTTAAAATGTGATTTGCAGCAATTACTTTAACACCTGTCGCACCATAGTACCTGTAGGAAAATCGCTGGCTCTTATGAACGCATTGAGACACTCGACTTTTGAGGCATCTATACTTCATCCGGCATATAGTTCTATCAAATTGTACAAGGCCTTCAGCGCTCGTTGACGAACGGGAAGGGTGCGCTGAATACCGACTAGGATCGCCTCCGATGAGCTATGGAGATGTTTGAACTTGTTTACCTTATTGGCTGTTATATCTTTAAATATATTGTCCACGACCCGTTGGAAAATGCTGGGTGCTGTATTCATTTCATATGGGAGGCGCGCTTACTGGAATCGTCCCAGGTGCTTAGTTATTGTGGTCAGTTCGACTTGAGAGTATGCGTGACTGAGATACAGCTTGGCAAACTTTTCGCCGCCGGCTAAAGTCGCATACAAGTCTTCAATACGTGATAGGGGATATTTTCCACTTTCGATGCTTGGTTTACTGTCAATTTGTAGTCTCCGCAAATACGTATGGAGCCGTCAGATTCGTGTACAAGTACAATAGGAGTGCCCCAATCTGAATGTTGCACCGGAACTATGACTCTTTCTGATTGCAGACTTTGAATCTCTACCTCAACTTTAGGGCGCATTGTAAAATTTCGGCTCGGCACCTTCGGAGTTTAATAGGAGCTTTGAAATGACGCATTTTCCCTATTTGTTTTTATAAAACGATGAGAACTGATTCAGTAATCCATTCAAACAGCCTTCTTCAACAATGAGTTGGTTGAGTTGCATGGTTTCGACCTATGAGAATCGGTTTGTTCACAGGTATGGCGATTAAGGGTAGGGTGAATTCTCGCTCCCCATGCATGGCTTTAAGGAAGCATCTGCCCAACACCTGAATTCGGTCACCGATGTACATCTGTAATCACAAGTTGCACGGTTGCAAAAGTGGTAGCTTTTTCATGGAACCACGGTTTGCAATGGTAATCGTCGTCCCAATATCCAGCTCCAAATCTATCGGTTCATCCTCTAACGTCAAGGTCATCCTCACACACGCGTGACGTGCGTGCTACTGGTTCATTTGGATTATTTCCCTCTATCCTCTCTCCATCTTCTCGCAGCGTTGTCACTGTACGCTCATTCGAACCGGATTTACCAGCTCTACACAGTGATCCATCATACGTGGAAATATTTTCTACGATTATAGGCTGTGCCATCACTAACCGTTTTCACTGGCATCTGTGATTAAGCGCAAGCGTTTAATTCAATCGTATTGAGCCGATTGCCTTTCTGTGTGACACCATTCGACACAGAATTCTCGAGGCAGGCCGAAAAGCCTACGCTTACTCCGATCCAGTGTTTCTCAACACAGCTGTTAAAGAATCTGTGTTCAGCGCTCTGTTCAGGTTGCAGTCACTCGCCATTCATTGTGACCTTGTCAGCCAGTGCGGCTGCATTATCCATCACACGGACCGCGCGACCACGCCGGCCGCTCATTTGATCTTGCAACCACCACGCTCGCCTGACCGATGTGCGCTGCTCTCAAAGCTGTAAAAGTACAGAACGCTAACCAACCCACTGGTCAGATAACGACACCAAATTGAATGGCAGAAAGGCGAAACCGAAGAGGCTCCAAGCGAAAGGCATTTGCGGGTTAGGAGAATGTCATCGGGTAGTAAAAATCGGTCTGGCTTGTTCGCATTGTTTGGTATGGTACCATACGAAATGTGCAAATGTGTCCCAACAACAGTTACGGGAGCGAAATAGCTCCCAAGATGCATTTTGGTTCTGTACTGCGTGTTCCACCATCCCCCTCGTTAAGTGCTTGCTTATCCTAGCTGAGAAATGCGACCGGTTAATCGCAGAAGCAGAGGATCAGCAATAAGATTACTTCAATGGAAGCGAGTATGCACCACAGAAGCGTAGCGCCTGCTAAGCAACGGAATGCTGAACAATCCGCTTCACCTGAACCGCAGTCAGCCACGTCCCCATCTCCGTTGTCTTCTCCAACTTTGGTAGAACGCCGGGCAAAAACAGACCGTACCCACGTGAATCAAACAGTACTCACAGCAACGAAAATCAGGCACCATCCAAAACGCCTGGTTAGGCAAATTCCACTAGACCTGACATCTAGTATTAACAAGAATGAATCAGCCAAACATCAACCCTTGGTACCTGTAGCTCAAACATCTCTTGTCGAGACTAAGCCTCCCAGAACATCGGTTACATATGCACAGATTGCTGCAAGGGTCCACCGAGAGGTCGCCCTTGCTTCCTCTTCCACTGTAAACGTTAACGCAAACAGAGAGAAAAAGAGCAAACAAGCACTTGTCAACAAGTCAAGACAAATGAGTACCATACCTTGTAGATTGATTAAAAAGGGATCTAACAACAGTGCCCTGACTGTTGTATGCTCAAATGTCCCTGAATCTACCGCCATCACATTGCGGGATAAGTTATCAGACGACCAAGACCAATGGAACTCATTGTGTATGCAGATGAGTATCAAAGCCAAGCCCATAAACTTGTTACGAATTACTCGTCATCCGAACTCGCCACACTATGGTGAACCCAGACTTATTCGAGTAACTCTAGAATCCTCCACCGACGTAGAAAACGTGTTGCTCTCCGCAAGCGCGCAAAAACACGAATCCTGTGTGATACGTATCTATCCTGATGTCCCTTGGAGCGCGAGACAACCAAAACGAAACACCGAAGAGGGGCACAGCAAGCAAGACCGCCTAAACACAATCTTCATACATGGCGTGCCAGAACACCCTTCTAACGATATTCAAAAGACCGGAAAACACGATTTAGAACAGTGGCGGTTCATTCGTGAAACACTTTCTTTGGATAATGTTGTGGCACTATCGCTCACCAGGATACCTCTCTCATCGAATTATAGAGGATGCGGCCCTAGAATCCTAAAACTTGTGGTTCAGTCAGAGCAACAAGCAAAGGATGTTTTGGATCGATGGCGGAGAAATCGGAAACATCTTCCTTCCGAAATTCGGTTAAAGGTCGCAAACACTTTGCACAGCTCAAATATTAAAGCAACTGAAGCAGCAAGCATACTGACGAATGTACAGAAGTGTAACTTGACTGCTGTTTTAATCGACTCTGACGTAGATCTAAACGAAGGCTGGGACGCACCTTGGCCGAATCAAGTTGCAAACAAGGTATCATTGACCCATCAAAAAAAACGAGTAACTGCCGACCTCCCATGGGTCGGCATTCTCCCACACTTGACAGCTTCACCTCTTTGCGGGCTCCTAGAGACCGAGAAACTGGCCTGCTTGTATACAAATGCTCAGGGTCTTTCTAACAAACTGGCTGAACTGAAAGATCGCCAAGCTTCCGGGACGTATGATGTCATTGGTATCACCGAGACATGGTTGCACACGGGAATAACGGACGCTGAAGTGTCGCTACCGGGCATGTCGCTGATTCGGAACGACAGGCACACAAAAGGAGGAGGGGTAATCCCGTACTACCGAAACGACTTACAGTGCGAAGCCGTGGAGGATTCAGACTCACAGTTCCCCGACTCTCTTTGGTGCCGGTTGCAGTTAAAAGGCAGGGACGCTTGCCTTATTGTCTTGGTGTACCGCGCCCCTAACTCAACACCCGAAACCAACTACCACCTAGCGGCTGCTTTAAGGTGCAGTTTACAACAAAAGTACACTCACATTCTTATCATGGGTGATTTCAACGTACATTGTTTAGAAGCTCCTGCCACGATCGGAGAACAATTCAAAACCGATTTACAATGTCTAGTAACTACTGTTCCTCTTTACAACCACATCACTTTGCCCACTCGGTTCAGAACTGGTAACAGGTTATCTGTGCTGGATCTTGTGCTTACCAACGAGGAGCATATGATTGATGCGTTGGTTTTAGACTGCCCGTTGGGTCGCAGTGATCACACAGTCATCAGTTTCAACTTCGTCTGCTATGCAGAATATCTGAATGATAACAATGAGACTGTGCGAACCATCACAAGGTACGACCGACTCGCCCAGCTCGTCAGCGCCACAAAATGGTCTTTCCTAGAAGAACCCCCGGACGTCGCCTGGCTCGAGTTTGTCAACACATTCAGTCAGCTGATTGCACAGGCTTCAGAGATAAAAGCTTGCAATAAGTGCAAATCAGTTTCTTTCCTTAGGAGCAGAACTCGAGAATGGATGACTGTACGCAACGCAGCATGACGAATGTACAGAGAAGCTCCAGCACCAAAAACTTGGGACAACTACGTAGCCCAACGTAACCACTGCACTCAACTGTTAAGAGAAGACAAAGCCGCCTATCAGCAGAACATCGCAAAAACCTTCAGTGCTAACCACAAACTGCTGTACAAGCACGTTAATAGCCTACGAAAGGTGAGGCAAGGATTTCCTCCACTCAAGACAGCTGATGGCCCAACAAGAACGTCTATGGAAGCAGCAAACGCGCTGCAGATGCAATACGCCCCCACGTTTCAAAGAGTCTTACCACCAAGCGATCTATCAAGTTTCGTCTTCTGCTCACCAGGACTAACCCACATCAATTTTACCGCAGAGGCTGTATTGCAAAAGTTGACTTCTCTACGCAAACACAGCTCGCCGGGTATCGACACCATTCGTCCAGAGGCATTGGGAGCAGCAGCAAACCAACTGGCAGGACCTTTAGCTCAGTTTTTCCAGCGCTGCTTAGACCAGAACCAAGTTCCCGCCATGTGGAAGCTTGGAATAATAAGCCCGATTCACAAAGGTGGAAGCAGAACTGGTCCCCCCAACTACCGCCCAGTATCCCTTCTTCCTATACTCTCCAAGGTCATGGAATCCATAGTTGCCGATGCGCTGGTGTGCTATCTGGAAAACTCCAACCTCATCACTCCTGAACAGCACGGTTTCCGTCGACAGCGGTCATGTACAACTAATTTGCTAATCGCACGCAGTAGTTGGACCGAGGCAGCTGACGACGGAGAAGGTGTTGATGTGATCTACCTGGATTTTTCCAAGGCTTTCGATCGTCTAGACCATCGGATACTACTATCCAAGCTGCAGCATTATGGGATCGGAGA